GGGGGTGGTGGTTGTGAATTCTATACAGTACTGCAGGTAATGGTGTCTTCCCTTTTTTCCCAAAGATAGTATTCTGCTGTGATGTGGTGGTGGTGAGAGGGGTGGTGCTTGACAGTGTCTGAGCATTGAGCTTATGACAAAAACTGAGTAACGTTCCAGGGTTTCACTCAGTGTGGTAATAGCAAGGGGAGAGACAATTGTTTTGGATGTGAGATGAGGGTTGTTCATCCCTCATGAAACACCATGTAGATGAACTAAATGGTGTACGTCTGCCAGTTCTCCTTGCGGTACTTAGGTCCATCTGCAACTGTTTATTACCCTGAATAGCTTGAGTGGCTTCACAAACTTTGTCACTTTTCTAAATGATCAGCTTTTCTGGATCATTTAGAAATACTTTAAACAGAAGAGGCTCCAATGGAGATCCCTTTAGAGCTTGCTGGTCAATCTGTCTTCACTAAGAAAACTGGCTACTTCTATTTCATCTCTCTTAGCTAGCTGTTTATCTGTGCAAATGCCTTCCCACTTTATTACAGCCAAGCTCAGTTTCTGCAAGAGCTTTTGACAGGAGCTGTTTCAGAATAGATTTTGTAAAACCTACTGCGTTGTATCAACTGGATCTTCTTTGTCCATATAACAAGCAGCTCCTTTAGATATCTAACACGTGAGGAATCAGTAAGCTATGCAAAGATGCATTGACCCTTTCTTACTTAAGATGTTCGTGTTTACCTGTGTACCCTTATTCTTTTGAAGCAGTTTCTCAAACTGCTGGTGGCTTACAATGCAGCTGCTTATGCTGTGTCAGGGCACGTCCATAGGCAAGGAAAACACTTCTGAATCTGTCCTCTCCTGGGTCTTTGGCTTTCCAGACTGTTATTCCAATTCCATCCGTTCTTAAATGTTATACCCCCCAATTACTCTCAAACTGTAGCAAACAGTATGAAAGGAAGTGCCTATGTGAACTAGTTTGTGCCTTTCTTGTTAATAAATTACAGAGGTGCAGAGGGAAAGGTTTCTTTTGCTGTGGCCCACTTTGATGCCATTCAAGTACCACAGTTAAGGAACCTTTGACTTGGAGATAATGCCTGAAAGCGGCGCATGGTGCTTTTTCAGAATATTCCTCTTTGGCAGAATGTTGGGTTTAACTGCTGCTGAAATTCTGTTTTGTGAGGGGGAACTATGACCTTCTTATAAACCTGAATGATGTCAAGGGGTTTACTATCTGAAAATACATGTTAAATATTTCAGCAGTCTGTCCTGGAATCCAAGAGGGATCGTTCAGGTCTGTTAACTGGTGGGTAAAAAGCTTGCTGTATGCCTATTTTGATGATGTGTTACTTCTGGTGACTGAGGGGACGACTCTTGTAAGAAATGATGGAGAGTTGTTGATTGACGGACAGTTTGTAGATGATCATATGCTGTAAAGAATTTCTCTGTGGGAAGGACAGAAGTCAGTTATTGGAGTCCTCTCTGTAAATTATGTTCTCTAGAATGGTTAAATTATTCCGTATTTCCCATATACATTTGTGTTCATATTTGTCAAATAATACTGCCAAGAAGAATTGTGTACCTAAAAGTGACTTCATAAATAAGATTGTGTTGCATAGTGCATTTTTAGCTTAACAAATGAGTAATATCCATAACTTTGGAAGTAACCTTTGGAATCATATATCAGACTATAAAATAGCCTCAAATTTCAGGGATTCTGTTATAATCAGTAGCTATTTTTTCCTTTTTTTTTTTTTTTTATTCTCAGAGATGTTAAATTGTCTTCTTGTTAAACAGTTTTAATAAGATGTGGTTTGATGTCTTGGGTCAGTTTATCTGGGTTCTTTAATTTTTCCTGACTTTCATTTAGTATGGCTGGAAAGTCAACAACTCTTGAGATTTGGCTCTCTTATTTCAGAAATAGCCATATTGCTATTCACATACCCTATTGATTATTAAAATTGTCAAACAGAAGATACTTACATAATTTATTGATGACTACAAATTTATCGATGAAGGAATTGGATTTCATGCTGCTGTATTAAGAACAAGGAATGAGACGTGGATGTTATTTTTGTATGAGAACTTATTTTCTAATTGAGAATGATCATCCAGATTGTATCTACAGCTGATGGGATCAATTCATTTCTGTTCTGTGATTTTGTTTATTCTTTTTTGACTCAAGTAGACCTAAGAAAAGAGCTTTGGCTATCTTATTAATAGACTACTCTGAATTCTAAAGGGCTGATTACATATTGATGCCGTAGAGTCCTTATATCAGATTTTCTTTGTGTGACCAGTAGAATCCTTTATAAATGGACATTTTGCATCTATGAACTAACAGATCTATTAGAATTACTTCTTGTAAGCCTAAATATATTAAAGTCATTATTCTTGGGCATATTTTTAAAATTTATTATATCAGCAGTTGAAAAAAACAGCACTCTATTTTCCTGGTACCTTTCCTTTACCTTTCATTCCAAGCTCACTTTTTGTTGTTGCATAATAGGCAAGTATCTGATGACCAAAGAACTAGTAGTTGCATCAAATCCAGTTTCTTTCCTGGTTGCATCCTTTATTCAGTAGTTTTCATATAGTAAATAATTGTCATAGGAAGCCAGCTGTTGTTTGCTAATTCAAAACTTCTAATGCAGTGTTAACGTGCAATAATATTTTTCAGACTATTACTTGTTGGACTCAGCTGGGTAAGACCAGTCAGTCATTAATCTCTCTACAATTCAAATTACTCTTTTGTCTACAACCACTAATACCCGTGTGTTTTGTGACTGGTGTCTCTGTGTCATGATAATCTTGGCACATTCAGAGAAGTTGAAAGTGGCTTGGAAATTGGATTTAATATTATCATGTGTATATTAATTTTTTTAATAACCGTGTATCTAGAATTACTCTCATAAATGAATGTTTCTTGTTACTGTGTTACTATTTCTGCATTTTTCTGGTGTTTTCAATAGTAGCTTTTCACGCAGGATTTTTGAAATACTGTGGTTTTGAGACATATTTGAATTTTTTAGTATTTTTGTTGATCTGAACAGAAAAGTAGTGTTATTTTAATCTAGGACTGTGTTTTGCAAAACAACTTAAAAATAAAAGATGTTTATACCTTCTTGTTTTGGTAAAATTGCCTATTAGAAAGAAAAAAACATTTTCTGTATTTAAAGAGTACTGCTATCTAAAATACTGGAGGGGCAAGGAGAAGGCATTAGAGGTTTGATTGTGGCCTGCCAGTTAAGTGTTTGGTAATTGTCAGTGTTCCTGTGCTTTGGGAGAAGCATTAAGTAGTTTTTCTTTGGTTAAAATCCATATTTATGATTTCTTCATGGGTGAAGAATGAATCCAGGGTGCTGACAAGCTTAGTGTTTTTCTTGTATTATGTTGTGTGCATTACTCCAGTCTGGAGCCAATTGTTATGTTCCTCCTGTCTCTGATGTAAACAAGAATTTAAAACCTCTTTTAACTAGTGGTGACTTCTGCTGGGCTGTACAAGCTGAGAGAATAGTTTAGGTTTGTTGATGGAATCCCTAGTTTTTTCCTCTTTAATTAATCACTGCATTGATTCTCACTGTGGAAGAGCAAATATTTGATGCTGTTTGGTTCTTTTCAGATTTTGATTCAAATTCTTTCTCATATTGGTCTCATCTGTGTGGGTGTTTACCTGGTGTATGTAGTTCTTTCTTGCCCATTCCCTTTATGAAATCTGCGTATACCGTTGAAACCATATTTTGTTTTGGTAGAAGCTTTGTCTATGCTTTTCTCATTATTCCTTGGAAATTCAAGGTTCAAGAGACATACGTTGTGGTAGATGGTGCAGATGATAGTTTCCATGGTGGACTTCAGACTTTCTGGTTAACTGCTTTATTTTCTGCACAGAGAGGCTTTAGTCATAAGGGATTCAGTGGCTTTGACATAAAAAGATGTTCAGGGAGGAGATGAAATGCAGCAGCTCCATCACATGGGACATCTCAACCATAGCTTGAGTGTTTGCATTTAAAGGGGAGTGTTCTCTTAAATTGGAAAACAGGATGATGCCCACTGGAGGTCACTATTTCAACTCATGGAATTCCACTTGTAGTGCTCCAGTGTGTGTGAAGGTGATATATAGGGCGTACTCTGAGGCTGAGCATGTATTTACTTAGAACAAGGTACTTGAATGATTAAATTAAATCTGTGCCTGAGGGAGTATTTAAATGCTGATGAACAGGCATTAATGGGACTGGGGGGTGGGGGTGAGGGGGGCAGACTTTATTTACAGTTCATCCTTTGTTTTGACGTGTCATGTTTCAGATAACTACCCATGTCCCCATTGTATTTTGATAAATATGGTTAAAGAATATATCATTATACACTATGGTGATTTTTAAATTTTTTTTTAAATTGAGGTTTATTTAGTAATTTTTTTATTGTATTTGTATTTTCGGAAACATTATGATGGGTTCTTATTTTCCATGGTTAATGAAAACTAAAGATACCTAGAAAAATATTTAAGATGTATGTCATGTTAGTTAATGCTTATGAAAAGTACAGATTCCTATGTATTCTTTTATATATCTGCTTAAATATAATAACGTATGGTAATACAGGATTTTTGCAGTGTGTTAGTTGCGCAGATGGTACTTGAAATAGTTTCAACTTGGAGGAAAGTAATTTCTGCAGCTGACTTCCTATTATAATCTTTGCAATTAGGACTGCCTGTACCATTGATGGATTGTGTAGTAGAGTAAGAATTGTGAGACAAGGAAATGTTTGTATGCAATATGAATCAGGGGCTGGTGATTAAAGCGATTACAAGCCTTACTTAATTTAAAAATCTTTTAAAAAGCACAACTTTTATGTTACTGCTAAGCTTAATTTCTGATAAGGGCCGAAATAAAGGTATCTGATGAGGAAAAGTTGGCTGACAGTTTTTCTGGGCAGCTATGTAATAGCTATTTTTATGTAAGGAGTGAGCTAAAGTGCTATGCTTAGAAGAAAAATTCACACAAAGATTCAACCCTCATATGTCTCTCTCTCTTTTTCCCCACCCTCTAGTGATATGCAGCTTCCGAGGAGCTGTACCGCAAGGCTTGGTCCTGGAACTAGGTGAAACTGTCCAGATCCTAGAGAAATGTGAAGGTAAGTGTGATGTCCAGGAAGGAGTCCCATTTTCTATATGAGTATATATGAATATCTTATTCTAGCAGATTTTAATAAGTTGTTTGGAAATCATGATGCATCAAATCAAAGTACTTGAATAAAACCTAATCTGACCCACTTTCCGTAGGGAAGGCTGAGTGCTGTTGGCACTAATCCAGTCTGATAGGGGGTCAGTGTGTTTTAAGTTAACCATCTGTCCAGAAAATCTTGAACCCTGACCTGATTGTTGTATTGTAATTGGGTCTTACAGTGAATTTTCATCATGTAAAGTACATAATCACTATCTTTGTTTTTACTATATTTTCTTAGTGTTACCGTTATGCATTTCAATTAAGTATATCAGTGTTTATTATTTAGAAACATCTGAACACATGAAAAATATTAATTATGAGATAGATTAGCAAATCATTTGGGAGCAATACTGGAAAAAATGTAAAGAGTATGGGTTTAGGGGGGGACTGCCTTGCATTTATATTAATGTGGTTTTTTGTACCTGGAGGAAAATGCCATTGTAAATGTTATAACTATAGTTCTTTCTTATGTGGCTGGAGATGTTTTTGTGTGAAAAAATTGAATGTCCTAATCCGCTGCTTTATTCGTGTGAATAGTGTGTTTGAAGTTGTTGTATTTAAAAGGAGAATGATTTTTATCCTAATATTCAGAGTAAGCAGGTGGTGTAAAACATGTCTATTGAGAAATAGGTTGACAAGATGCAGTATGAGAACATGTTTTGCTATAGTCTGAGGTGGAAAAGTGTAACCTTAATCCTGAAGTGTTAAAAGAAATTCAAAACCAGATCCACAAATTTGAATTCCAAATTAGCATTCCACAAAGTTGTAGGTTTATTTTTGTGTTTGTTCAGTTTACAGTCATTTTTTATCTCCCCTGTTAACATTGCTACACAAACCTTCTGTATGCTTGTCAGAAGACTGCTTTTCTTCTCTCATGCCTAGAACAGTCTTTTGCTCTTGATGCTTTTTCTTGTAGTCAGGTGTTTTGTTTGTTTACCTACTGACTTAACTCTTTATGAAAAAGTGACCTCTTACATGCTAATTTTTCTAGGAAAGTAGTAGCTGCTTCACCTACACTTGTAAAAAATTTTCTGTTGAATGAGAGTTTTGCAGTGCAATAGTGACTTTTAATCCATGAAGCAGCATGTTGTAAACAATAACTGTAGTATTATACCTGCAAGTGATAATTTAAAAAAAAAAAACCACGTGGTGAAATGGGCTAAGCTTTACTTGAGCACTGAGTGTTGATCGTAGTCATTCTATCAGGTCTCATGAATTAGAACATGGTGCAAGCTCAGGAAAAATTTATTACTTTGCATGGGATGGTATAACTCTAAGGTAAAACAGTGTATATTGCTGAAGGCAGTCATGATATTTTCAGACTATTTCTGGTAATCAAGGAAGCTTTCAAAACTCTGGGAAATAAAAGCATGATCTTAAAGGAGCAGGTTGCTAACAGAAAAGCATAATCCAATGTCTCTTTACAGTGTTATAATAATTAGGCTCTGTATATTTCCTTTGCCAGTAGTTTTGAGGATGATTCCTCAAAGGCAATTCATGCCAGTCTTCAAATTGCTGAGAAAGGAGGCCCTCAGACAAAGTGTTTTCCTGGGTGGAAGGAGGTGTTTGTACAGAGCTTTTTCTGTTTTGTTTTTTTAAGCCCTTTATCCTGTCATTTTGGTTGAGGTGCCTTTGCCATGGACTTTACATATATAAAAACATATATTAATTTTGATAATAACATCTGGAACTCCACAATATGAAACTCATCTGAATATTCAGATGGTCTGTGCTGCAGCTCTTGCATGTGTGAATTATGCAAAAAAGCACACTAATGTGCAAAGTAGGTTCTTAAAAGGAAAAAAGTAGTCATTGGTTAAGCATTCTTATCTAAGTGGTTGTTTAACATGGTCCTTGGTTTGCTTTGCAAATTTAGAATGAAACATACCTCATCTTCCACTTCTGCATTATTTGCTGGGGATTCTTCTGTCCAGACAAACTGGATAAATTAATGTTAATCCATGCAAATAAGGGTCACTACTGTGGCAGTCAACAGAAGATCCATTGCTGTTTCAGCTTCACTTCTTAGAATAGTTTGTGCATAATTCTCTACAGTGGGGACTTTGCTGTCAGGATTAAAAGGATTCCCATACACGCAAACCTTCTAGTGACATGAAGAATGATTTCAGAGACTCGCTGAAGAATTCAAGGCTGACAAAGATTCAGATATGACTTCAGATTCATAATGACTTACCGAATAACTGTATTATTACAAAAGAGCAAGTGCTCTTTTGTAGTGACTGGTATAAAAAGCGGTCGCTGTATTTAGAGCAATTGAATGAAAGAGTGGGTAATTTCCTATATCAAGTTCTCAGGTACCTCTGCAGCTAAATTTTGTATGTATTTGCAGGGTAAAGGAACATATGCACACACACACACACATACAAACATGTATTTGTCTCTTTAAGGCTAATAAATATGAATACTAGTTGATAACACATTTTAAAAGAATCTTTTTTTACTGTGGTTGTCTATGCATGTATTAAATAAAATGCAATGAAATACAGTTGTCTTTGTTACTATGGATCTTGTTCATGTGCTTGAAACTGGAACTTTTGAATTTCGATCAATTTGTGTGCCTGCCACAGTGTGTGCTTTCATGCCAGACCACAAACATCTAAATTGCTGTTTTCGAACCCTGTCTAAATCTGACAAATGCCTCCCACTGCTCCCCCCCCCCCCCCCCCCCCCCCCCCCCCCCCCCCCCCAATTCAATATGACAGGGTTCAAACCCATGGACTTAGTGTCTACCTTTCCTCTGAAGCTACCAAAAGCTTCATCCATGTTTTCATCAAATGTTACGCTATCTATAAAGCATATGATATTACTAGGGTGGTTTTATAGTTACTGTTTGCATGAAGGACTCTGAGGTCCTCCAGCAGTGTCACTCAAAGGTAACAAATATTCTTCAAGATACTAGTTGTATGTACGCTTATCTTTCACAGCTTTCCCCTCTCTCTGTTCCCCTCTCTGAGTCCTTCCACTTATGATCTTGCTACTGAGAGAGAATGGAAACAGTAAGTGGTGTTCTCTGCTTTACATGCCATGCATCGAGGAGGTGAAAGGGTATGGCAATAGTATGCTACCTATAAATGCTGAAAGAGTTTTCTTTTGTTAAGTGACAAAGTATGAGCATACTCATTGTTTGAAATACACGTGGTCTACGCGTTCTAAAGAACACCCTATTTTTCAAGTCATACAGCTATTGCCCTGCCACTGGCATTCAGAGCAGACTTAAAATGTCTGTTTTGTCCATTTATTTTTATTGCCAGGGAGTAGTTTTCTTTAGATTAAAAATGCTACAACTTCAGTGACTTTAATTATTACCTTGAGACTTTTATATGTTCACTGAAGGAAAGAAACACTAGCTGATGCCTGAAGTGCCAGTTAAAAGAATATAATATTACCCATGCAAATTCTGGTATCCACACAAGTATTTACATGGTTTTAATTTGTGTGCATGTTAATAATGGTGTTCTTAAGCCATGCATATAATATATTTAAAGTTTCCCTCTGTTATTCCAGCAGCGACAGCATAGTTGAATGAAGGCTTTCCAGTATTTGGGACACTTAAGCAGCAGATATGGATTGCAATTAGGGTTTTTTCTTAAATTCTTGAAGAATTCGGTGTGCTTGAGAAGCAATATCTTTGCTGTGCTTCCAAGTTGTACCATACAGATGAGTGAGGAATCACACTGCAGACTGTCACATTGCTGTGGGAGCAATGCAGGGTTCCTTCCACCTGGAGTCGGGAGCTGTCCTGTGGCTGGCTGGGCCAAACTGACTCACTCCCAGTAATTTGGGTTTACCCTGAGAAAGAAGTTTCCAGTGAGAGATCCCTTTTCCTCTTGGCCTTTCTTCCCTTTTCACCCCTTTTCCTTTTTGCCTTTTGTGGAGTGTGTCAGTGGAACTGAAATCTCTTGGACCCACACAGCTGCTGCGGAAGATCTTGCCTGGCTATTCAGACTAGTCTTTTGGAGTGCAGGAATGACTTCTTGATGGCCTTCTATTTGGCTAACACCAAGATAAAACGAATTCTCTCTCTCCTGCTTTTGTTGTGGCATCTCTGGCTGTGTTGTAAGCATATTCCCGTGGTTCTGCTGGCATGAGGCTGCTCCCTGACATGGTGTTGGCAGGATAGGTTGGGTATTCATCTGCTGCTCATCCTGTCCTGGCACTGCTCAGAGCATCAAGCTCAGAACAGAGTGGTCTTGGCATTGAGTGGCTTCGGCATCAAGAAGCTTTGCTAAGCACTGTTACTATCCCTCTTCTGGGTCACTTAGAGTACCTTTAGCTCTGCACAGCAGCTTATATGCAGATTAAAAGATAAAAGTAATTGTTTATTGACTAGTGTATGCAAAAGATAGCTTTCCTCCAGGTTTGAGAGTTAGATTACTGCAAAGTATACTCACTCTTGTAGGACAAAGAAGGTTCAAGTTCTTGTATCAGATTCTACTAACATTGCTTTCTTTAAGAACCAAGTTTAGCTTTAGGACTTACCATAAATACTTACGTAATTTATTTTCAGAATTTCTTTGTCAAGAAATTGTACATGGAATTTGTTTTTTCCTACAGTCTGCAGGTGATGCTACTTTATTTAACCTGGATATTTGGGCTTAATTTTTTCTGAAAAATAGATCCATACCTTTCAGTTAGGACCCTTTTGTTTTTCTGCAAATGAATGCTCAAAAGGGACGAGCTTTTTCCATTTGACAGAACTCTTGTTGAAGTGGAAATCTAGAAAGGGTTGCGAGGTGGCTTTTAGAAAGAATATCCTGTTTTGTTCAAGGCACTTTCAAGTAAAGAGCAAAAAACATTGGAAGCTCTTCTAATCGCTTAGATTAAGAGATTGAGATGTGCAGGCCTGCCTCAGAGCTCCCTTTGCAATTTAACTAGAATTGTACTATT